CCGAACGTTTGCGCGTTTTTCAAAATTTCCCTCTCCCCGACGCGAGTCCCTAGACGGTCTCGTCCTCAGCGTGTGTTCAGGACACGCGATATATCTTCGTGCCCACGTAGGCAGCAGCAGGTAGTCACAAAAGCTCCCGATCCTGAGCTGTCCTCCGCATCGCCTTCGTTCTTTATGGCCGGCCCTTTTCCCGTCCTGAAAGACTGAACTCGTTACGTGGCCACGTATAACGAAACGCAGCCGCTCTTTCATCGCCGTCGACCACTATTTGTCAAGCTCTCCTCTGGTTGGAAAGGCCATTAACGTTCCTCCGTTTCCTTTCGCAACGCCGCCCCCTTTGTTCTTATCTACTTGACTATAACAGCCGCGGAGTTTCTAGTCGCAGTTAGCCGGGTCCGCATTATTAATTCCTATCGACTGCTAACTTTCTTGTCCTCTCGTCGATCACAACGGCCAGTTTCAGGCTTTCCAGTCTTTTGCAACGCGTGTTTCCTCTGCTTCGAACCTCGTGTGCTGCTTAACCCTTTCGAGTAGTGTGAACGCATGTGCTGGTGCTTGTGAGTATAATGTTCTATCTTGTTTGGACATCTGAAGGCTGATTTGGAATTAGTTATGCGTGACGGAATTCGTTGATATTTGGACTTGTCGTCCGTAGGATTTTTTGAAATTTTGACAGAATATTCGGGGAAGATATTTTCGAGAGTATGAATATTTAAGAAATGCGATAATTCAAAGATTAATTTTCTGGACCTTCTAAATGAGAGTTTCCTTTTACATGGGGCGATTTTTTAAAGTACACGTGGAATCGTAATCTGTTATCACAATATTCACAATATTTTTTTTTTAATTACGACACAACATTTGGGGAAAATATTTTGAAGACTATGAATATCTGAAAAATGCAATAATTCGAAGATTAATTTTTTGGACCCTCTAAACGAGCGTTTCCTTTTAAATGGGGTGATTGTTTAACCTAAATATGAAGTCATAATATGAGCATCGTAATTTGTTATCACAATGTCCACAATATTTTTTTTTTAATTACGACACAACATTTGGGGAAAATATTTTGAAGACTGCAAATATTCGAAAAACGCAATAATTCGAAGATTCATTTTTTGGACCCTCTAAACGAGAGTCTTCTTTTAAGTTGCGTGATTTTTTAAAGTATTACAGTTGAAGTTGTAAGAATTTTTTTTTACAGCATTCAATTGTGCTTTCTTTTGTGGCGTCTGCGAATAACGACTTCGGTTGTTTCGATGAAGTACGTTTTTCATCGGGTATGCCGTTTGCGTCACCCCAGCGTGGAACGAAGTTTTCTCGTGCCCATTTTTGCCCCGCGTGGAATTGAGTTTTTGCAGGCCAGCAAGTCGATCGGGTTTTTTCGCTTTGAATTATCAGCTGCGTTTGTTTCCGCCTTTTTTCGTTTTAAAGATCGATACTTGTTGCGGGCGGAGTTGTAGATTTCTTTGATTCTGAAATTGCTAACTTGCTCGAGTAAAATTATAATAGTAACTAAGTAATTAGAATAATTACCGTAACGTTGTGCAGTTTGTTAATTCATTCTATATTCTACGATAAAAGTAATCACGAAGTATGTCATTTTTGGTGATTCCAACAATAATTAAAATTAAAATTGAACAATAATTAATTGTTACAGAAATAATTGATTAATTAAAATGAACTCAATTTAATGTAATATAAATGTCTAAAATACCCAGTTTTCTTCTTATTAGATTTAATTAGATACTGTAGGGAGCAGATAATTTTTTCACTTTCCAATTATAAAAAATTGTATGAACAATTTGACAAGGTTTAGTCGAATTAAACACGTACAAGGAAAATTTATATAAATTCCTAATGGCGATTTTGGAAGAGCTGCTGTTGAAGAAATAACATTTTCACAATCATTATGTCAGCAAATCTCGCGTAACAGAGTTAAAAGGAAGCATAACCGATGCCGTTCGATTTTCTGACCCTATTGCAAGAATATATCCGCTGTCAAGAACACTTGGCCACTTGGCAAATCCTATTTTCAAAAAAGAATTCCAGTAATTAACAAATTCCCTCGTACAACTATATTTTGAATAAAACTGTTTTATCTGTAGAACACTTTCTTACTACTTCCGACCCATATCACATTTGAAAATTCCCGACTTAAATGTGCAACTTTTAACCGCTCAAAACCTACATGCTTCCCCACCCATTCATTCGCAACGTTCTTCACTTCAATCAGCAACTTCATTTAACCCGTTCCCAAAGAAAGGTATTCAACCTTCTCCATAAACCTTGTCTGAAAAAAACACATTTTTTTTTTAAATTTATGAAATCCTCGAATGAAGGAAAAGAAGAGTAGACGGTGAAATATTTGCGAACAGTAGGTAATTCAATCGAATTCACCATTTCTAACCATCGACACGTTTCTCTGTACCAGGTTCAACTACCGTTCAGTGTCAGTCATCGTTCACGGCCATTCTATGTTTCGGCCAGTCAATCGACCCCTGAGTTTCAGGCAGCGCGCCAGCGACTGGATCTATAAGGTCAGTCTTAACGGTAAAAACACGCGGCGGCTGGTTAATGCGGAATTCTCCGTGGCGGTGGTCTCTGCCAAATGGGTCAACCGTGTGTAAGTCTGCACGAGTTTGTGCGCTTATGTGTTACGGAGGGAAAAGGGAGTGTGTAACGCGTAGGGGAAAACGTGGCAAAAGTGTACGAGGACAACGATGTTCAACGCCATTCGGGGAGCCATAAAAGTCTGAGTACCGCGGCCTACTCCCGCGATCTATATCGGCTCCCTCTAAACGAATTATCGTGGATTTAACGCTGGACAGCCTTGAAAAAGCACGACGGTCACGGGAATCGATCTTCCCCACTTACGCCCTTCTTCTTCTCGTGTAACCCTCTGCTGCCTCCTCCTTCACCGACTGTCTCTCCCTGCGACTCCTCTTCTTCTTCTTTTTTTTTATCGCGGCTAGGAAGTTGTATTTTAGAGAACGAGAGGGTGGTCCGGGTAGAGAGAACAAAGCACGTTAACCTTTAACCCTTTCATCTCTATCGATGTATATGTGTCACGTGAGGTGTCCGGAAGGTTGTTGAAGGATGTATGCAAGATGGATGAAGAGGGTATTTGAAATTTTATTAGATATAGTATTTCGAGTGGGCTATTTTTATCCTTCATACTCTTCTGAATAAAATTTCCTCCCTTGTTGCTTGGGAAGAATTGATATGCACTATTTTTCACTCTTGTAAATTGTTTTTGGAATAACGAGACGCTCTTTTTGGAAGTAAATTGCAGGATTTGGATGAGCAGTATTTGTAACATTGCAAATTTGTTACTGTTCCATAGGAAATGAGAGATTTACAGTGAAGAGAATTTTTATTTCACTGACATTTTTATTAACTCTTACATTAAATTTTCTTAATTGGCAAATTTTTACTTTAAATTTAGTACAAAAATTTATAAAAGTATCAGTGAAATAAAAACTGTCCTCACTGTAAATCTTCTACTTTCTATGAATCTTTTACACTAAATTTTTACTTTAAATTTAGTGTAAAAATGTACAAAAATGTCAGTGAAATAAAAACAATTTTCACCGTAAATCTCTCATTTCCTACGAAACAGTAACAAGAATCGTGCATCGAAGTTTCCATTAACAATCAGACACCGATCGGTTCCGTTTCTTTTTTCCCCATGGGAGTAGCGAAGGGCGCGAGTTGATTGAAATTCACGGAAATTTCCTAGACCACCCCGGCTGGCTCTACCCGGCGAAGAAACGTGGCTAGCAGAGGTGAAATATTCCCCGTGCTCGTCCTTCTCTCAGGCTGCAATTTATTTGCTAATTGCTGTGCAGCCTTCTGGCGCACGGGCGATTTGATTAACGAAAAATTACGAGACGTCAACGACAAATGTTTCCCATAGCGTACGGACCTGCCGGGCTCTAGCTCGCTTCGTTATCGCTCGAATAAACCCGCGACTTCAATTAACGCCGTGTACGCCCACACGCTCGACCCGAATCTTGCTTCTTAATTGGCAAATGATTTTTCGCCACGGAGAACGCCAGTCCTCCGCTCGGTCTGCTCGCGCAATTCGACCGCCTCGATGTGGATTTTCCACCTGTCGTACACGTGCACCGGAAAATTGGACAATTTTTTCCTACCTGTTAATGAAGTCGACACCGATAGGATACTGCGTCGGGGAAAAATCCAACCTTGACAAATTGATATTTATATTAAACTGGTACTGCGCGTAGGTGGAAAACTTTCTACGTTCTCTTCTTTTTATTCTTCTCGCGACTACCGTGGATTAAAAGTTTTGATATTTGCGTATCGCCGTTTTTATCTTCGTACTTGTGTGAGAATCTGTTGTAATTGATTACTTGTTTCATGATTTTTTTCATCGATTACTTACGTTAGTATTGGTAAGAACGTAGAAAACTATTAAACCAGCGATGAGCAATTTTTGCCATCAATTTCAATTAGTGAAAATGACAAATTTTCGAAAATAATTTTCGAGAAGACCAATTCCTAATCAATTATCAACTCGTAAACTTTCATAAAATCAAATTAAAATGTATTCATTATCACCTACATATGTTAAAAATAAAAAATACCATCGTACAAATGAGAAATTTTTGAATTAACAAATTAGCTTTTTTAACATGGTCACCACCTTGGTTTCGTAGAACACCGCCACCTGTTCTTCCTATTAGTTTTACTTACACCCTTAGTGACTATATTTTTATCACTTATGCACACCCAATATGTATTAAATACCCAAACTCTGCATTTTGTATGACCTATTACATTTAGGTAATACCAATCTATTATGAAAATTGGCTTGTCGCACATATGTGACACTAGTTAGGAACGTCTTAAGGTTACTGTCGCAGTGACCTATACGAATCACGGAATTTTTAATTTGGGTCCATTAAGAAAAATTGCTCGTCGCTCTTAATATTTCCACTCTAACCGCCTAAGTACCACCTTGTCCATCCTACCAGATGCTATTTCTTTGGTCGAGGGAGCCAACCCCGGGACCAAGAGCCGGCCCCTGGTTTGCATGGTTCGCCACAGCCTTCGTCCTCTGGCGTTGTCGTCGTAAGGTCGCCAAAGCGATCCTCGCCGTGTCACCGTTACGTTTGCTGAAGAAACGTCACGTCCTGCCGTTGACCACCTCGAAAGGCTCGTCCACGGTGACGTTCAAGAAGCAGCAGCAACATCGATTAAGACCGGAAAATCACATATTACAACGGAAACACAGGCACGCGGGTATCCGGACAAAAGTGAAACGTCTGTGCACCGGCGACGGGCCACATGTGACCAGCTCGACGTTCGCTATTCAGAGCCAGCAAATCCATTACAAAGTGACCAGAAGCGGGAAAATATACGGGAAATATCCGAACAAGGTCGCCACGACAGTGAACAGCGGCCAGGGAAGCCATTGAAACGCGACCATTCCATTTTCTACGATTGTTTAACGCCTTTCTGCGACCGTGCCGGGCTACACTCTCGTGTTCAACGCGCTCTACTCTGCTTCGACAGCCGATGTTCCACCACGAAAGTACGCGTGTGCATGTACAAAACGTATCCTGGGCTCTGTTGCCATAAAAAGTCATTTCGCCCGAAAAAACGGACACCGGTGTGTATGTTTTTTTTTTTCCAAGCGTCACTCGAGTCGCTATAACAGCAGCGCGTAGCTGCTGTTGACGTTACGATGAGTTTGATGCAGCTCCTGAAACTGCTTTTGAGGATTGTTTATTTCCGGCTTGTTTGGAACAGCGAAACGAATTAAATTAGCGCGACAGTGAGTTTGGAGCAGTGTTTCGAAACATTTCCATGGATAACTGTCGCTAAAAACTGCTTCGATCTTACGTCAAGTGAGAGGATCGTGGATTTTTGTAGAAATTTACGCGAGACTGACGTTACTTTCTTGTTTGTCTTATTGTTTATTTACGTCAAATAGCACGATGGTTTCATTTATAAACGACTCACGAGCGAACTGGTCAAAGGTGTTGTGTAAAATTCAGCTGGAAGACGAGAGGAGAAGGTGGAAGAAGAAATCTGTCACGAATGAGAAACACTCGGGTACCTCTCAGACTCTGATACATTTCTTACGAATTTGCAATCAAACGAAGATACCTAAAAAGAGTAATTCTATCGCCTACTAAATCAAATTAAAAAGTCGTACGTCTGACGTCTGGAAAAGAAAAAAAAGTGGAATTCTCTTTGTGAAACACCTTATTCCCCGGTGACATTTCCTTTAATTACAATTTCTATCCCCGGCACGTTGATCAGAAACGGCAGATTTTATCGAAGCGGCGGAGGGTGGTGCGTTCGATTTGAGTGACATCAAAGGATCGAAAGGAAGGAGCACGACTATTAGTCTTCTTGCTTCTTCCTGATGTCCTCGTCACAGTTTCGAGTGTCGAGGTCGTTTTGCAGAGACCTTCGCCGGGGTCACCATTGTATCTACGATCCACGACGACCGCGAGCAGCGTCGTTTCGGACTCATGGTCCCTCTTCTCTCCTCTCGCGGTGAGGAGATCAATAAGCGTTCGGTGCGTTTCGACGGCTTAGGACATCCCTTATATCTCTACCGCGATATGGTTTGCATCTTGCGCAACCGTTCGCTGCTCGACTGACCGTTATAGGTCGCCTATAGGGTCTGCGGAGAGTTACACGAGAGCTTACAAGACTGCACGTCTACGGAAGAGAGTTTGCTTACACTCGTGGAATCAATTTTTTATACAAGGATTCTAATATTCGTGGATCATGAGAAGTAACCGTTACACGTGGAATTTTGGAATTTAACGAATGATCGTTTTAAAATGGGATTCTGGAATTCAGGGTAACCAGGGAACTAAATTTTTGGTACAATTTTAACGAAATTTCGTTAATTCATGGATCACGACAAATAACCAAGAAATTCTAAAATTACGAAATGACGAATTTGAAATATTATAGAATTCTAGAATTTTGGGGTAATAAGAAATCTATTAAGTCGTGCTATATGAAATGTCGGATTTCTAATCACTCTCAAATCGATTACTTCAGTGTTAAGACTATCTGAATGTTTTCGCGTCAGCTTAAACTTAATCTAAGCGCATTTCTTTGAATTTAAAAAACGATTTTCCTTCTCCCCTAAAAAATCTGAAATTTTTAACAGAATTCCAAGTTCGACTATTTACCTCGAATTAAAATCTCGATCTAACAATCTCACAAACAGAGTGACCAATCTGGAAGTTTAAGACGAACGCTACCTGTGAAAGGAACCACCTGTTTTAAAAGCGAAGCAAGAAGACACGGTGCAGACCGAAGGAACTGGTCAATATCCTCCATCGACTAATCAGATTTACGCGGAAAAGTTTCCTCTAAATCGTCGTCAGACGGCCCCCGTTGTATCGTCACACGTGCATTGCCACACGCCAGAGTCCAATCGTGCTCGAACAATGAAACGGCCGCGTGCAACTTTCTAATCAGAGATGTGCCAATTTAAGGCGGCACAATGGCCACGGTTTCAGAATGAGCGAACGTATCTCTGTCTCTCAGGCTCGTTGTCCGTTTCAGAATGAAGCGTAACTGTGCCAAATTTAATGATTCAATGCCCTGTTGCGTCACAGTAGTCACACGCAGCTCTCTCTCCTTCGCCCGATACCCACCCTTAACCGCTGACTTTCAGGAGGGGAATTCCCGAGGAACCCGAGACCCTTAACCACGTTCCCGATCGACGGAGATGAAATTATAAATAGAAGCCATGTCTGAGGGTAGACAATAACGTGATCCAGGAGAAGTAGACTTATACAGAGGCTGTTATAAAAATAGAACGATAACACGAATTTAAAGCGTTCCATTCGTGGTGCAGATGCACCTGGCGCAACCCTCCTTAGGCGCTGTACACTTCGACGTGGACTGGCTGAATAGTTACAGAGATAAACTTTTTTCCCCTTCGTTCAATACGATATTGGCACGACAGGTGTACGCGGGTGCTCGTGCCAAGTGTGGGAGAATTTGAAATTGCTCCTTCTGCATGGACATTCTTTTTAGGTTAAAGGTAATGTAGTTTTTATATTTGTATCTGGGGATTTTCTAGGTTAGATTTCTTCTAGTAACACTGGTCTACGATGTAAAAATTGTTTCCTTTTTCTATTTTTAATCAAATACGAAATAAACGTGGACGAGTCAAGTATGAAAACAATAAAAATCAATTTAAAAACAGAGACATTCCGAATTATTTTTCAACGTTAAGCAAATATTTCTATACCTGAGGATTTTCTAGGTTAGATTTCCTCTAATAACACTAGTCTATGATACAACAATTTTTTCCTGTTTTCTTTCTTTAGTTTTAATTAAGCGATAATAAAAGTAGAGGAGTAAAATATGAAAAGTATAAAAGTAAATTTAAAGACAAAGGCATTCCAAATTACGAATTATTTCTCTAACTGAATATTCCTATATTTGTATCTGAGGATTTTCTGGGTTACATTTCTCCTAATAACACGAGTCTACGGTATAAAAAATGTTCCCTGTTTTCTTCCTTTATTTTTAATCAAACGAAAATAAACGTGGACGAGTAAAGTACAAAAACGAATTTGAAAACAGTCATTCGAAATTACACGAAGATATTTAACAATTGTTTTCCAACTTTCGTCGTACAACGAGCAAGAGAAAATTCTTCAAGACAAAGATTGATTTCCACTCGTTGTCGTCGAAAACCTAGAAGAATGCGCATTTTCCTCAACACAGTGTTCTATCGTGTAAACGCATTTCTCTTGGAAAATTGCGAAACACATTCTCAGCGTCTCGTGATCGATCATCAGAGATCAACGATCTTGAAACAAAAACGTCGTTTCTTTGCAAACGAGCCTAGTGTCTCGCCGTCTCGATCGCTCTAACTGAATTGAATAATGAAATTCCTTCCAGTAGGTGTTGATTAGAATCTTTTTTTTTTTTTTTGTCACTTGAATGGGACCAGCTTTATTACATCGCCGAAGGCCTCTCGCGGATCGTGCACGTGAATTTCCTGTTTTTTAATTAACTCTTCCTCCTCACCCGGGGAAGACTTAATCAGCCTGTCTAACGTGAGTGGATGAAAGGAGGTTCTCTATCTGATTTGAATAGAACGACGCTGGGATGGGGCTTCGGTAAGGTCACCGGCAAGACCTTGCCTATACTGAATTACGCGATCGCCAATTTCACGTCATGGATACTCTCTATATCGGCCAAATAATATTGACTCATCACAAAGTAATTCCTTCTTAACACTTTGTTTTATATAACGACGGTGCTCGTCTACTATCCACTTTGTACCGACAAGTTTAATGTAATTAAAGCGGAGTGGGTGAAGCGTATAAGGTGTTTCACAAATATGTGGAATTATTCGAGCAATGTAAATTGTCGTTTTCGTTGAAATTCTCCAAATATTTTAGCAATTTGAAAAATTAAAAAATATAAATTTTCGAACGTTGTACTTTTTAAATAAAATTATTGTCAAGAGGAGCGTGCAAGGTGTTTCACAAATATGTAAATTGCCGTGTAACAAATTTTCAGTATGCAAATTCCACTAAAAGTTGCATTTGTCAAATAAAATTATTATAACGTATAATCGAAAGATCTAAATGTTCTCAAACTACAATTCTGATAACTCCAATATCCCCGTTTTACTAAAAATCCTTGTAATCAGAATTTTAAAATAATACAAAGATCGTCTTTGTCCTCAAGATGAATTTCTCATTCGTCCTCCATTCGAAATTATCCAACGAGAAAAAATTCGACGTTCTCCACATGTTTAATCGAACCGACACACGAATACACCAATTCTGAAAGTTCACCTCGTCCACTAAACTCCGTAGACCTTGGGAACCCGTGCAAACTACGGAGGTAGAACGTAATGGAAAAAGTATGGTAATAGGGTAAGGAAAGAAGTGTCGCGGAGGCGAGGAAAAAATCATCGAAAATAACCTCGTCTACCTGGGTGGCTCGCGACATGACAGAAATAATTGAATCAGCATATATCTAGCCCTGGGTACACGTTCCTCGCGTTCCTGTTATCTCGACGAAGCGCATCTTACAAAGTGGTTTCACTTTATCATCGACTCTCACTCGCGTGTTTCGCATCGGTTATTTATGTCTGGCGATGAGCGGAGAGGAGCCTTCGTCGAGGTCGCTTTCGCGCGTCGAATTTTCAATTAGATTTGCATAATGACCGTTTAAAAGATACTCTAGCCGGCATGGCTCCGGCGTGAGAATTGAATTTACACGAACCGCTCGCGTATATACCCGTGACACTTTCGCAGTCGTAATACTCTTCCGCGACAACGAACACCATTCCAACAATAAAAATAAAAAAAAAAAAAGAAATCGCGAAATCTCCGCTTTAGCCCGATATCCGTGAAATCAAGTTAGAGTTATTAAACGAATTAAAAACAAAAGCAAAAAAGAGCGAACG